ATTTTGAGCAATAGTAAAACTCCCAGGCATGAGAGTGACTTTTCTTTATATATTCTGTTGTTTTTGTTTTGTTTTGTATGAATAAAAGTGTTACTTAATAAATAATTTAAGTTTTGTGAGGCTGGTCAATCAGAATAAGCCCTGAGGTGTGTGTGTGTGTGGGGGGGGGGCTGGGGGTGTTTGTTTATAAACAAACATTTGGATGAAGCCAGGAAATAAACTTGAATGTGTTTACACATAATCCACCCATCATAAACAGATCTGATATCACCACGGCTCCTGAAATAACGCCCTGATAAACTTCTTGGAAGCTTATCCTTATCATCAGCAAAACCATAGATATTAGATATGTTAAATTAGTTGGGCGTGTTCCAACAAAACGAAACACAAAACGACCCTACTTTGGGCATAGAAATTTACATGCAGTATTATTCTGAGTGTGAAATCCTGGTGATACTCACAGAAAGAAGCAGATATTTGCCAGTATAGCCCAGTATTTCTCTCTAAAACCTTCTTTTCATATTTTTTTTTTATATTTTAATTTGTTGCTGCTGAATATGTGGGCTTTTGTTTTCCAATTATTTCCAAGTGAAATGTGTTGAGGAAATAGCAAGGCATGTCTTAGAACAGTCTCATATTAAAAGGTCTAGATCTTTAAGTCACTGATTTGAATGTTTATTTAACTTATACTTCAATTAATGTCTAAATCTTGAGCATTGCTAGAGCAGCAAAGTATATAAAAAGTATTGGGACATAACCTACAATCCATTATTTGAGTCACTGTAAAGTAATGGTGTATGTGTATTTTATTATATTTTTGACACTTAGATTTTTAAATCAGTATAACTTCCCTTGGCTTTGCTGACAGTAATTTCGGCGTTGTACTGGAAAGATCAACTAAAATAGTTGGAAATATAAAAAGTAGTACACCTTCCACTTTATCACCAAGGTAATGTTAGACTTTATTTTACTGAGTTATTCAGCCACATGGGAAAAAACAACTCAGAAACAAAAATTTATTTTTCCTTTTTTAATATTAGATGATCTTTGAAGCTGAAACATGTCTTAAATGGTATAAAACTTTCAAACTGCCAAGAAATTTATTTTAAAATAATGCAGCATCGATTCTAAGTCAGTTTCCATTTCCATCTGTGGCAACTTTTAAAAAAAATCAACAGGGGTAGAAGTAATTTACTTTGGGCTTGAGTTTGGCATTTCTTTATTTTTTAAGAAATTTATTGCTAGTTAAATTATAATAATAGTTTTTATAATAGCAAACCGAGCGCTCAAGAGGATCAATAACGATGATCGGTGGAGGGCAGTAAAGCGCCACTGATACCTCTCATATCAATGAAGAAGAAACATGCTCTCATCAGTGAGCGACAAACATGGCTGCCTGTTGGCTACTCCGTTCCCTCTCTTCCAACTTTTCTACAGTTTTGCCTTTACTCGCTCGTTCAGCGTCGCTTTCTCCATTGCAGCTGGCATCTAAGCCTTATTTTGGAAGAACGCTAGCCTCTTCTAGCCGGTTATCAGCAGGTATTCGACTATGCATGTCTTGTATTAGATAACATTAGCGACAGAAAGGACACGATAGCTGCAGCGTGTTTGAGTGTTTCTGTCATACTCGTCGAGGACTTCAAAATCCTCGCTAAGTTCTGAGTATGTTGTGTTATCTTGCAGCGCTTAAATTCACAGACAAACACGAATGGATTCGTGTGGAAGACGGAATCGGGACGGTCGGGATCAGCAACTTTGCACAAGTGAGTATTCCACCTTTGCGCGTGCACTTCACAGACCGGTGCCAAAATGTGATTTCCGGAATTTGCCAGAAAAAGAAGGAAAAAAAGATGATTACTGGTGTTGTCTTAATAAATTATCAACTGATAGTTGATTTCAGAGTTTTATGTGTAATGTGTTTAATTGTATTGGTAAATAGACTTTATATGTTATATATGAAAAATAAAGAAATGGCCTGTTTCGCGAGTATCTTTATGGCTCTGCATTATTCTATCTACATTATAATCAATCCAGTCCTTTTTTGGCCACACAATATCTTTATAATAGTGTTATTTTTAATGCTGCTTGGCCAGATCTCTCTCTTTAAAAATTGACATTTTTATATGTCAAGAGACTTTTTAGCTGGATAAGTAAATGCTATGTAAAAGTCACTTTGTCACAAACTGGTTTATATCATTCTTTAGAGATATGGTTGGCATACGTTTCATGTCTAGGCTGACAATGTTTTGGTAAATCACTCAAATCACTTTTTGAGACAACACTGATTAAAACTGCTATAAATGATTTGATGGCTTACAGTATGTGAAACATATTTCTCTTAAATGTTATCATTGTGTTTTGAAATAAACAGTCCAGTAGCAGTAGAAGCTGCACTCAGTTTTTGGCAGAGGGACTTGTATGTGTCCTTTGTTTGTTCAGGTGTTTCATTAACATTAAAAATGTCTTTTTAAAAGCTATTTTAAGTGGCCAGAAGAGACTGGGTTTATTATTGTGTAAAATACACAGTAGGTAGGTACAATAATATAGTCATAAAGATACTTGTTATTTCTTTATTTCATATGTAGATTATGCGGAGTGCAGCCTATTTTTCAATATAAGCAAATATATTAGACATAAAAACATAATCTTTTTTTTTTATGTTTGCAGGTGATGACTTTTTAGCACAATGGCGCTGAAATATGTGCACATGCAAGGCAGATCCAAGATTTAAAGCTCTTTTATTATGCAAGCTAATTAAGGCAATGCTCCCTCACATGGCCCCCAAAAAACTTAAATAACATATATTTACTGACATAAATATAAAGTACAGTTTTTAAACTGGCATTTATTTAAAAGTTTAGAAAGTATATGTAGGACTGACAGTTGTCATTACATTTCTTGTGTGTGCACAACACTCAAACACCAGATAGCAGTGACTCAAATGTAAACACAGACATCCCTTTCCACAACATTTAAATGAAACGCAAATAACTGTTTTGTTTTGTTTTTTTAACATCATACTCTGGTTGTCCTGGCTAAATGTTTTCCCTAACCGCTTGCAGGAGGCATTGGGAGATGTAGTTTATTGTGGACTGCCAGAGGTGGGGGCACAGCTGGCTCAGCAAGGTATGATGTTTGCTGAATAATAGTGAATATTATTAAGATGGGTATAAAGCTTGATCTCATGCATGTCATCGCTGGATTTAGAGTCACCACAATGCAGGAAAGTGGATGGCCTCTTGTCCCTCATGACGTACTTTCTGAAATTTACTCCTGCAGATGAGTTTGGAGCTCTGGAAAGTGTAAAGGCAGCCAGCGAGCTTTATTCTCCTTTAACTGGAGAAGTTGTAGAGATCAACACGCTACTGGCAGACAACCCTGGTCTGGTCAATAAATCTTGCTACAAAGATGGTAAGTACACACATAAACGTCTCAGTGCAGTTAGTGGAGGGTACTCTGGTGTATGTATGAGACATTTTAGATTAATGCAAGAGCTTAAATAGAATTAACCAATGACATTACTCTTTGTGGTTTGTCACAACATTGGCATTTTCTTTCGATTGGTGCATTTTTTTTCTATATAGATCACTGCTAAAACCTAATGTTTTTTTTTTAACTGTTTTATCACCCAGTATAATACGCGGCAGTAAGCTATGAGGTTTAATCTCTGGACAGTAGATGGCAGTAATACAACACAACATAACAGTGAAGACAGGGTCTACATTAAGGCCATAAAGCTGGAGCTGTTCTATTGTTACATTACATTATATTTCATTAAAATGACCCTTCATTGCACATTTTCTAACTAACATCTGAATATTTGATGTCCAGAGACATTGTATGTTTCAATCTCTTTTCCCTCACTGCATTCATTCCATTTTATTTAAGTTAATTACTAACCCATCACAATTACCTTTATGGCCTTTGGTAGTAATGCACTGCAGAATGTTAAAATAACCTTTCACTTATAACATTCACTCACAGTCTGAAAGCAAAACATAAGCTGTTCACTCTGGTGGACTATTTTACTCAAGCAAAAAAAAGTGTGTGTGTATGTATATATGTGTGTGTGTGTGTGTGTGTGTATGTATATATATAACAGTGTCAGTGACATTTACAAACATTTTCTCTTATAAGGTTTTTAGCTTATATCTTTAAAAAATGCAAAGAACAAAATATACTCATATTTTGTGTAGTTATTTTGTTTTGTTTTTTCATGTGAAGCATTTAATGCTACAAGTACTGAAACCAGTGTGCATCTTTGAATCAGAGCTTAGCTTAACTTGATTTTTACACATCTATTATAGGTTGGCTCATGAAGATGAGCATTTCCAAACCTGCCGAGCTTGACAGTCTAATGGATGAAGCTGCATATGAGAGATACATCCATTCTATTGAGGACTGACATAACACCTTTCTGTATGTGCTGTGCACCTTCCCTTTTTCTCACAACACTGGCAGAGAGAGGTGCACAATATGTGCCTGTCCGTTAAAACGCAATACATAGCATTCTCCAGTGGAGCTCTGTAGCTCCAGGCTACTGATCTGTCAGTGCTGTAGAGCTGTGAACTTTAGAATTTCTTTACAGACTTAATTTAGGGGACCTTCCAGCCTGCATTGACCTAATATCCATTGTTGGTTTCTTAAAGCATCAAACCACCAAAAGGTGGAAGAGACTGAGACTAGAATAAAATAGTTACAAATCATTTCAGTGAAGGACTTGAAACTCTGTCTTGGGACACTGTTTGACTTAAAAAGCACTTTTGTCTTTATGGTATTAATTATTTTGATCTTCACTGCATGTATAAGGGTTAAACTGTGGACAGAGGACCTGTGTAATAAAAAATAAATAAACATTTCCTTAAAAAGTCTCTTTTCTTTGTCATTTATTTCTGAAATTTTTATGTTTTATATACGGCTTAAAGAAAAAATAAATCGCACTAATATAAATATATGTATATACACCGCATTCCAAATTATACTAAAGAAGGATGTTCCACATTATTAAGCAGACCACCATTTTCAAGCAACATAGGAAGGAAAAAGTATCTCTCTGTTGCTGAAAAGCATGAAATAGTTGAATGCCTTGGACACGTAATGAAAACCTTAGATATTTCACAAAAATGTAAGCGTGATCACCATAATGTTAAGAGATTTGTGGCTGAGTCAGAGCACACATGGGTTCGTGCAGATAAAGGCACAATGAGGAAGGTTTCTGCCAGACAAATACATCAGATTAAGAGAGCAGCTGCTAAAAGGCCATTACAAAGCAGCAAAAACTTATTTGAAGTTGCTGGTCCCTCTGGAGCCCTGCGAACATCAAGGTGTAGGATCTTCCAGAGACTTGCAGTTGTGCATAAACCTATTCAGCCACCCCTAACCAATGCTCACAAGCAGAAACGGCTGCAGTGGGCCCAGAACTACATGAAGACTAATTTTCAAACAGTCTTGTTCACTGATGAGTGCAGTGCAACCCTGGATGGTCCAGATGGATGCAGTGGTGGATGGTTGGTGGACGGCCACCATGTCCCAACAAGGCTGCGTCGTCAGCAAGGAGGTGGTAGAGTCATGTTTTAAGCCGGAATCACAGGGAGAGAGCCGGTTGTCCCCTTTAGGGTCCCTGAAGGTGTGAAAATGATTTCTGCAAAGTATGTGGAGTTTCTGACTGACCACTTTCTTCCATGGTAGAAAGAGAAGAACAAAACCATCTTCATGCAAGACAATGCACCATCTCATGCTACAAGGAATACCTCTGCATCATTGACTGCTATTGGCATAAAAGGAGAGGAACTCATGGTGTGGTCCCCATTCTTCCCTGACTTCAATCCTATTGAGAACCTTTGGAGCATCCTCAAACAAAAAATATGAGGGTGGGAGGCAGTTCACCTCCAAACAGCAGCGCTGGGAGGCTATTCTGACATCCTGCAAACCATTCAAGTAGAAACTGTTCCATGGATGCAAGAATTGTAAAACTGCTATCAAATAAGGGGTCCTATGTTAATATGTAACTTGACCTGTTAAGATGTTTTTGATTGAAATCGCTTTTGATGTTAGTGAAATTGATCTACTAATGCTGAAAATTCAACAAATAACCATTTTCAATTCTTTACAATCTATAAAATCTTTTGAAAGTCTGTGTGCGTAATAATTTGGAACAGTGCATTTTAAGTTTTTTTATTTTTGAAAAACATACTGTTTTCATTGGGAGTTTTGTTCAGTAACATTTGAATTATACTCTATTGGTCGATGACTCGAAAATTATGCCGACTGTCATTTGAATCGACTAAGTAGCAAAAACAGAAAAATATCATTTGCATAATAATTTGGAACGCAGTGTATGCTGCCATTATTAAACACAGTACCTGAGGTCAAACTGAATATAAACTTTTGAGAGCATTTTCCAGCCCCCTTGCAATCTACTTTTTTTCCACAAATATTTTCCACATCCACATTGGCAGAATATGTCTTGGCATAATTTTTACACTCAATAAATTTGTAATATGTTTACATTCTGTGGCAAATGACTAAAAAGTTTGTAGTCTTGGTCACTTTAGAGAAGTGACTGCCCCACCGGGTACTATAGAGAACCTGTCCTTGGCTGTGGGAGTTCGTCTGGCCCTGCCTCGAGGTGAAGGAGACGGTGGGAGCCCCTCCATTCTCCGATAATCGCTGTTGAGCCTCTCCTTTCTTTGGACTGCCTCATGCATTACACTGGCAGTGAAGTCTCTCTTATTAAGGAAAGCAATGGTCTCGTCCCTCTTTCGGCTCACGTATCCTTTTAAAACTGCGTTGTAGGGGTTTGATGTGGCATCAGCATCCGGATCTTCATGCTGGTGTTTGAATTCCATGCGAGTGATGACAGGCAACAGGAACTGCTTTCCTTGTGTCACCACAGCCCCATCCTTGTGTGATAAACCCAAAGCCTCAGAGACCAGGCGTGGGGGCAAAGGCACCAAATCGCAGCCTGAGCGTTTGTCCACATACTGTTCAAACTCCCTGCGCACCAAAGCTACATCCTGCAGAGACTGATTCCTTCGCTCCTCGAGATCTGTAATTATTCGCTCGGGATACGACTGGCCAAACACCACACCTAAACCGTGAGGACAGCATCGATGTAATAAATTGATATATTAACTGTTAAAACTAAACTATGCAAAGCATGATTCCATACATTTATCTTATTTAAAAAGTGAATTACAATAAAATGTCTCACCTGCACGCCGCAGCATAGATGCAGGACATTTCCAGGGTTTGTGAATAAGCTCGTCAGGCAACTCTGCAAGTTCAGGACACCATTTCCTAACATAGGTACCGTAGGGGTCACAGGTCATTGCTGCGTCAACAGGGTGCATGACAAAGTTCCAGTGATCCAGGCCACACATGCCCCCATTCTGCCACATCATTGCATCTATGGCAACATCTGCATCCACCAGGGTGTCCTAAAAATGGGTTGGATACAGTCAGGAAGTTAAGTAGTACTTGTGAATATTTGTCAGGCATTTGGTGCAATATCTTTGTGAGTGCATTAGTCCCAGTGTGCACACGCATCTCACCTGGAACCAGCGATAGCCTTCTTGCCAAGGCAGATAAAGATATGCTATGAGAAAAGATGCCACTACATGTCTCATGTAGTTGTTCATCCAGCCTGTTTGCCACAGCTGCTTCATGGCTGCATCGACCAGAGGGTAGCCTGTTCGTCCTCGCTGCCATGCCTTGAGGTGGCCCCGATCACTGCTCCACCGCAAAGCCTGCCAGTGGATGTAAAATTATCCATAATGTGGTTTAGGCCTTTATTACAAATTAATAAATTGACGTGGCAACAAAAAAAGTTTACAATTTTATGGTATGGTTAATATTCACTTTGTAGTCTATAACTAATTTCCACCTTGTATGGAGGTCTGATGGATTCCCATGGGAGGTCAGGAAACAGCGTGAGCTGCCAGTAAGCCAAATCTCTCCACGCCAATTTGCGTTGGAACTTTAGGGGTCGACAACGTGCTCCTTTGGCATCCCACATTAACCAGCGTGGACTGAGCTGACCAAAATGAAGATAGGGCGACAAGCAGCTGGTGTTCGGAGCATCTGCCCTGCCTGACTCTTTTTCATATCTATACACACCTAGAAATAGAAATAAATATATGGTGTTGTTCATTGCCAAGTCTGTTAAGATAACCAACTGAACAATAGGTGTCTCACCATCATGAAGAAAGGCCTCTAGACGGGCTTGCGCTCCTCCTTCACTAAAATCCCAGGTCTTTCTAATATTCGCTGCCCAGTCAACCTGAATGCCGAAGAGAAAACAAAGAAAACATTGACAGATGCGTGATTTAAATTATTTTTTAAGTTGTTTTGTTTTGCCTTAGAGCTTTGGTTTCTAACCGTTGTGCCATCCTTCCTGCGGGGCATGCGTGCCAAGCCTAGTTCATCCAAACAGAGCCCCTTTGGCCAGTGGGCAGGTGTAGGGAGAGATACCGGGGGGTCCAGGGGAACTCCTACTGCAGTCCCTGGGTTCTGTCTACAGCAGCTCATGAAGTGAGAGACTGAACCTATTCCTACATCATAAAAAAACAATAAAAGTTCATCAGAATAGCCATATTGTAATTTAGGTATACATTATCAGCAAACCCAGTATGCACATAGAAATATGCTTTGACTAACCTCGAAGGCCAACACCCTCCGTGGTGACAGAATAAGGGTCTCTGAGACAATAAGAGTGGAACATCCTGCATTCAACACCTTGTTTCTGCAGAGCTGATACTACCAGATCATCTCTCTCCTTCAGCCAGGGCTCATACAAGGCATTAGCCAGCACTGTTCTTGCCCCAGTCTCTTTAATCAGCTCCTTAAGTGCCTTCAGAGAAGATTCAGTACTTGTCATCTCCCCATTTGCCTTGAGGACGACAAGACGGCTGCCGATGTGCTCCAAAGATGAACAAAAACACAACAATGCCTGATGCAACCAATATTTACCTATTTAAAAAAGGGAAGATACATTCAGACAATTAGAATACAGAGCCTTACAAACAAGGATTTTGTCAAGAACTATTATGAAGACATGAGACAAAGTATTGCTATAACCACTGATTCCTTGATCAAACTTACAAGCTCCTCCCATAGCCACTGTAATGCCCGTTCCCTCCTCTTCTTTGGGGCTCCAGATGAAGACAGGTATGACAGGTGCACCCACTTCTAGTGACGCCACGAGAGCAGGATTGTCACACAGCCGCAAATCCCTCCTGAACCACAGTAACACTGGTGGTGGTGCTGATGGAGAGCGGGGTAAACCTACAAGGTGCTGGCCAGTACATTTTCGCCTCTGCCGCCTATTCTTAGAGCGTTTTGGTTTCTGTGATTGATCCACATCTCCCTCCTGTTCTGAGACACACACAGTCTGACCTGTCCCGAGTGTCTGCTTATTAGGATACGTACTTATTTGAAACTCCATCTCTCTGGCTGTCTGCGGTGGACTCTCTCTGTTCCAGGATCCAGTTTGATTGGTGCAGTTGCTTCCTTCAGGCTTTAATATAGAATTCAGCTGAACAGATCCTCTCTGACCTTTCATATCCAGTAGAGAGAGAGCCAAAACAAGTTCCAGCTCGTCATCTTCAGTCTAAAATTTAAGCAGGACAACCCACTGTTATTACTTTTAAAACAATTCTTTAGTAGTTTAAAAAGACGAATGTGTACACTATGCCCTAAATGACAAGACATTAGCTTTTATCAAAAACTACCACAGGTGTTTCAATTATTTAAATGTATTATCTCTTTAATTAGATGGGTGTGTACAGGCACGGCTTGGTTTACACTCATCAAGTACTTCATAAGGGACACATGCAAACCTGTCATTCTTCCTTGCAGACACCTTATTGTAACCCAAATTCTCCCCATCACCGGTTCCGTCTTGTCACTCAGGCTTCATTCAAGCCCCCATCTTCATCTCCAACACCGCCCTCTAGATTCCAGGGGGTCCTGCCCTAATCCCTATCAGCACTGGGATTAAATCCTGCGCTGATGGGCAGCATCGCATGCATCTCTCAGGTCCTGTGTCAGGTCTTTTTTTTCTCCTATTTCTTCTGGACATGACTTTCAGATACTGTTCATCTGCTTTAGATAGTTCTTTAGACCTGCCACTTCTTTTGTCCTCCACTTGTCCACTTTCCTCAAATTGTTTAGGGAAAGTGGAAAATGCCAAGGAAATCACAATTTCCATTTTCTAAATTACTTTTAGACATTTTTAGAAAAAATCCCTACAAATACAAAGAAAACTGAAATGGGAAAAAATTGGGAGACATCATCTCGATGTAGGGAAGCATAGAGCTGCCACCCAGGCAAAATAAAAATAGAGATATATCACAAAACTTTATTGTTCTTACAATATACTTTTCATGTTTGTTCAATATACTATCACGTCATTACAATATACTTAATATCACGTTATAACAAAAAACTTTTTATATTCTACGAACGTAATAATTATGTATATTGTAATGACGTGATATTATGTTGTTCAAACGTGAAAAGTATATTGTACTAACATGATAGTATATTGTGAGAACAATAAAGTTTTCACGTTATGATGTGATATAGCTCTATTTTTCTTTTGCCTGGGTGGCAGCTCAACGCTTCCGTAGTTCTCGGGAAAATATCACCAATTAACGCAGATCCCGGGGCTCCGCATTCACAAAAGGGGGAAACTTTAGCCTTGGCAGTGGTTTGCAGTTTCGGTGAAGAGCTGCTCCTGTACCGCCATTAGGAAATCATTAATACTTATGTATGTTTTCTTTCATTTATTTACGTATTTATTTATTTTAGGTTAAGCTAGGCTAGTAGGTAAAATGAAAAAGTGACAAAAACACAACTAGCTACCTAAAGTTACGTGTATCATCAAATGCTTGAGTTAATCTCTAAAAACGCCAGTCGTTTAATTAAGTCCTGTTACTTCCTTATTGTGTTTTGTTCGTGTCATTTTTTGTATGTATTTTATTTTTGCTGACTTAAGCCTAGGTGTTACAAGTCCTCCAACCTGAATGTACTTCTATTGCTGAAACATTTACTGACCTTGGTGAAATATTCCTGGTAGATGGAGGTGAGACTGGCGTGCAGGAGTCTGTCACCCGTGGACAGAGGCTCGATGAGGGACAGAAACTGTGAGCGGGTCTCTACTTGCCCCAGGATGGACACACACATGGCGAAGAAACCCTCGGGATCCTCTCGACCCTCCAGTACTTCCCCTAACCACCATTTCACTGTGGCTTGGGCATCAGCTCCTGAAGGAGGCATCTTCGAGTAAAAGGTGACTGACATTTTAGTTTGTTAAAAAGATTAAAGCCTAAGCTCTATATTCACGATCATCTCAACCTCCTGAACTACCGGTTACCAAACAACAGCTGATTTTCAGTTACACAAGCCATGTGTCAAATGTTTTGTAACCTGGGGTAAATTGTAATGAGTAAAAAGCACCAGTAGGGGGTGTACAAATCTAATATAAATGAGCTATGCAGGAGACTAGTAAAGCCCATGGGTGTTAGGCTGGGTTTTTTTTCTTTTCACAGCGTGTGAGTAACAGATGGGATTCCTTGTTTACATTTCATTAACTTGGCATTATGGCAGAGCAATATAGACCTAATAAATGCTATATGAATGCCTGTTTTTGACATAGATTTGAGTCGATCTCTGTGTTTCATCTTCCTGTCCACAGCACAATCATTTCTCTGCCAAATCTATACCTGTCAACGAAAATGTTTCATTCCCAGGGTCGCCACAAGCAAAATCCAATCAAATAGAGATCCTTGGTTCAATTTGAAGTGATGTTAAAATGCTGGAGGGGGGGGGGGGGGGGGGGGGGGGGCATCTTCCTTTGGATAATCACTCTATAATTTTTACATAGCCTTCATCTTGACAGGAATGTGGCCTTTTTCAAGTGCAGCCTGTGATGTGACTGAAAAACAAAGCCAGGAGACAGGAGACGGTGTACCCAGCAGTGATTTTTTTTTTTTAATCACAGTCTGTATTCAGACTGTTGAAGGGTTGCTAAGTAATTGATTTTTTTAATGAGACCATGAATAAGCTTTTGAAAGTACGCAGCAGGGGACAATGATTTGTGACACTTGTGGAGCAAACTTTAAAATGCTTTGTATAGTTGATAAGCTCCACTTGTGATACTATTACAGGAATTACTCAGAAGTCTTATTTTACTTATATAAAAAAAAATTCTCAAGTGTTCGTCTAAAATGCGACTCAAGGCTTCGCAAACAAGGACATACGATCTGAGTTATTCAAAACTATTATGTGAAAAGTAGTGGGAGTGTAAGAAGGGAATATGGTGTTGAGTGCTGTGGTATGTGAATAGAGCAAGACCGAAAGAGAGGGAGCGGGAGAAAGAGATTGAGAGAGAGAGAGAATCAATAGTGTTTAGACAGAGAAGTGGAGTCTAAGTGTGTGATCAATAGAGAGCAGAGAGGAGAGATTAGCTGCTTTTCTCTTTCAAACTAACACTGACAAATTGGTGAATTGGTGTATCGGCCCTTGGGCTAAACGGATTGACCTGCTGTTTCCATGTTCTACCGTGTACTGTCAATAAAGATCTGTGTTCATTGTGGCTCTCAATGAAGAGAGTGAATGAAGCACCAAAAGAGAGAAAAAGGGGAAAAGGAAGGAAGGGAAATAGAGAAGCAAAAGCAAAAGTGCAGTCCAGGTGCCCACGTAGAGCTGATACTCGCGAAATGTCCACACCTCGGTCTCATTAACACACGCGTGTACTCATATGTGCATCCTCGTGCACATTGTTATAAAACCATAATAACGTCTCCAGGAAAATTAATGGAAAGACAGATTAAAAACTAAGTGAGGAGAAACGGGCCACTAGTGTAGCTATTTGCAACTCATAAATCATTCTGACACACCCACGCGCATGTAGACACTTGCATAGACTCACACACGCACATACACACAAGCACACACACGTACTGTAATTAACCACAGGCTATTTACTCTCTCCTGCTGTAAATTAGACATGCAGACACAGTTATTACATTAGGGGGATCTGCCATGCAGAATGCTAACAGGGGGGGAGGAGGAGGGGAGACTCGTGCACATAACAACAACTGGTTCATACAAACATAAACATGCACGTACGCACACACACACACACACACATGCGTGTACACAAGAAAGAGGGTTTAGAAGAATCATAGACTGACGGGAGTGAAAATGAAGCTGCAGCACAGAGAATAGGGGCCCCCAGCTCTTTGTTCCCTGCTGCATTTCATTATCTGAAACGCCAGCCAACACACGACACACACACACACGCAACGCACCTCCCCCTTCCCTAAAGCTGTCTGCCTTCACTCCATGCATACAGCACAAAAAGAGGGGAATATAGAGATACTGCGTCAGTGCCATTCACTGGCATCTGTACTTGGTCATGGCAAGCGTGTCTGCATGGTCATCCTTCGCAAATCAACTCATCCACACACTGCCCTGAGTTGACCACTTCCATTTAAACCTGTGATCACAGAAAACACAGTCCCATAAATTCTATTTCAAGCAGAACAATGGGAGATGAAGTCTTGATTAAAGCAAGTATTGATACTCTGTCTCAGGCAGCTTGTCTCCATTTAGTTCATCTGAAGTTTTTCTTATTTTTTTTTCTGGCAGTCCTTCAGTTTGTGTGTGTGTGTCCTCTGGTTCCCTCTGCCTCCCTCACCCTTCTCTGTCCCTCTGTTTTCCCACGGTGATCGATAGCTCATTACAATCATTGACTGCAGCTCATCAGCACCTTTTAAGGTCTGGAGACACAGAAAAGGTGTATGTGCTTGTAAGGGTGCATGTTTTCTGATGTGAGCTTATTGACAAATAGAAAATAACCATTCAAATGTCAAACATAACCTTTGTTTTGTTCAAAATGAATTTTTCTGTCTTACAGCCAGTGCTGCGGGTGTCTAGTTTGTCACTTTGTCGCTTTATGGTCCATGGTCTTGGGGAACATCTTATTATGCAACTCACGTGGGTACCATGGTTTGTTGCTATGGTGATTGCCAAGGGAGCCAGAGTATTATAGGTGTTTATCCTAGACAGGAGCAAGGCTACTCTCCGTCTATCAGGACACGCTTCAATTTGCCACACAGTTTGGACCACACATTAAGATCAACACAGTCACAGAGGGACAAAGGGAAAACAGAATACAACACAATCAGGTCCGGATGCGATTTAGTGGATAGATTATTCAGTATTCATATTCCTGGAAGAAAGACCTTGTTCAAACACTCAGTTGTTGGTTTAATGCGTCACTGCAGGGTTTGTTTTTGGAGAGGACAGGATGTGAGCCAAAAGAAGCAAACAGAGAAAAAAGACTGTTAGAGAGTACAAACCATGGTTAAAGGCAAGGAGAAAAGTGTAGACATAAAAAAAGGCAAAATAAAGGAGACAATAGATAGACCTCGAGAAGTCCCCCAAGGATTCAGTCACAGGATGTGGTCTAAGAAAAGCAGTAAATTGGTAAAGAGTGTGAACTTTTAAGGAAAAGGGGATAAAAATAGAGAGTATAATAAAGGGCTGAATAGACAACAAGTCTCTCAGCCCATGCATAAATTACACACACCATTTACATATTCATTATGTTTTGTGTTCTAATGAGAGTATTTGCTTAATAGCATCACCACCACTGCCAGCTTTTGTTTGACTCAAGAGAATTAAAAGAGTGGGAGAAAAAAAAAAGAAAAACAAGGGAGCAAGGGTCATCTTGGCAAAGTGGGTTAGGTCAATGGTATACAATCAATTTTACTGATGATCATATCAATCATATTGCTGTATTGTTCATGTGTGAACGAGCACAACCTACTCAAGGCTCTAGGAGATGTGAAGTGAAACACACATAATGGGGGGTTGGTTAAAGTTAATTAAAACAGCACAAGCTCTCTACAAACTCGGGGCTCTCTTCGTCCTTCTCCTCTTGTCTCAGTGGAATAAGTGAGTGCTGCTGTAATTACCTACAGGGCAGCCACTGAGAGCATTTCTTCAGGTGCCAAAAAAAGTCTTTCAAATGACAGCAAAGATTTGCAGAGTGACTTTAAGGAATGAAAAGTTTGTATGTCTGAAGTGATCTTGCGCATAACTAGAGGTCCAACACATAAAGTGTTCCATACAATGTGAAGCGGTTTTTTTTTTGTTAGAAAATAAATGAATGAAATAAGGGGAAAAGAGAGGGATGGAAATGAAGAGACAGGGGGAAGGGCAACGGAGGGATGAGCTACAAATGAGAGCGATGGCGGTGGCAGGTTGGCACAGTGCCATCCAGTCAGGACTTGAGCAGGGGCGGGCATGGGCATGGGAAAAGGGGCGAGGAGGAGAATAAGAATGAAAGAGGAAGAGAAACAGACCTCCATACTGCTACCATGGTGGCACCTTGGCACAGGCATAATGGGGCGTAACGAACAAGAGACTGGGCAGAGAAAGGGAAGATGGGAAAAATATCAGAGGATAGCGGAGCATAGAAGTAAGTGAGATGCCAGCAAGCAGAGGACTCGGATATCGATAAACGACAGAATCATAGGATGTTGAGGAGAAAGATGGACAATACTTTAAATTTGTAAATGCACGATAGGTCGCAGAATGGGAAACAGCGTTGGAATTATTGTAACCGTTATTCAATTTTTCTTCCTTTCTATGCCAGCTGCAGCGTGCCACCCAACGGGCAGCATGCCAGTTTGTACATGTGGCATGCCCGAAGCATTCGAAGCGAATGGCGGAAAACTGTCATAGTCAAAGACGAGGACTCACCTCCGAGGATTTGCTACTAATCACCATTTGTTTGTTTGGACAAAGCCAAGAAGAGGTGCCCGGGCAACGGTTGCCAGCGATTTAGTGATGGCATCTTTTCAGGGGCGGCAAGGGCACAGGGAGAAAGATGGCACCCTGCCAAAGCAACATAATGCACACATTAGTAAACAGAAACCTCCGTACGGTGAGCAAAACATTTCGGATGCCTTGAACGTTTTTGGCGGTGGCATCCCCTCAAGGGAAAGACTGGAAACAGAGATGGCACCATGCCAAACACAAACTGCGAGGCGTTCGCGGGCACGACCAATAGATACACTAAAATGTACTAAATGCCACGGCAAAAAAAGTAGCAAAAGAACTACAAGTAGAACTACAAATGTAGCCGTGGTGGGAGTTTGGGAGAAAAACTATTTCCGTGATGCCAACTCTGCTCAGTGCCAGCTGCTGCACTGAAAGGATGCTGCTGCCCATCACAAAAATCTAAGAGGAGGGATCATACCATTCCAGTATGGGCAGAAAGACTATGTGGAAAGAGAGGAATAATGAGCAAAATGAATAACGGATGCAGAAGGAGGAAAATGGGGGATTTTGTGCTTAACGAAGAACAGTGGGAGT